ATGTGAATGACACATGCTGATGGAGTCTCAATGTGAACAGCACATTCTGGTGGATTCTCCATGTGAACGTCACATTCTGGTGGAGTCTCCATGTGAACATTACATTTTGGTGGGGCCTCCATGTGAATGTCACATTCTGGCAGAGTCTTCATGCGAGCAGCACATGCTGGTGGAATCTCCATGTGAACAGCACATTCTGGTGGAGTCTCCATGTGAACATTACATTCCAGCGGAGTCTCCATGTGAACATCACATTCTGGTAGAGTCTTTATGTGAACATCACATGCTGGTGGAGTCTCCATGTGAACATCACATTCTGGTAGAGTCTTTATGTGAACATCACATGCTGGTGGAGTCTCCATGTGAACATCACATTCTGGTGGAGTCTTTATGTGAACATCACATTCTGGTGGAGTCTTTATGTGAACATCACATGCTGTGGAGTCTCTATGTGAACATCACATGCTGGTGGAGTCTCAATGTGGATTTCCCACTCATTCATGCTCACTGGGGCAGGCCTGCCGTGTGAGCTGTGTCTGCAGTAAATACTGCTTACATCTGCAATAAAAAAGAATAATTGAATGTAACACCTTCATCTACATGTTATATATTTTTCTTTATGCAACATCAACTTATAGATAGAAAAGTTCAAAACCCCAGAGCCAGGAACAATTAATAAACCCAACATGACAGGGTCGCAGGGATGACTGTTGTTAACCTTCATATAAAAATGCTGGTTGCCTGACAGTTATGCCGAGCCACTACAGTTAAGTGATTCAGGAAGCCGACAAGTATTTTCAGTGATGTGATGATGCACTTTCATAGTTAAGTGAGTGAGTGGACGGGTCACAATGGAAGTTGCGACAGGAAGTAGTGGTGTCACCTGCCTGGCTCTGCATTGTGGCAGAGATTTGTGAATCATAAAACCAGCTAAGCAGAGGCTTTGGTAACTGGCAGTTTTGCCCATAAAGTGTGTCATTTATCAGCTCTGAGATCAGACAGGAGACAGGTCACCCACTATGGGGGGGTCATACACCAGCCTGACAACAGCTGATATGTTTGCAATGGCAGGAAGAGAAAACAAGTGCCTAATGTAGTAGGAATATTTATGTATGGTTTTTTCCTATGTTATCAATGTTTTATAAATATTCATTATGTTCCTTTAATTGCTATACATTAGTTATTCTTACCTCCATCCAGTTTTTCCCCCCTAAAATCCACACCAGACAACGCTTTTATTTCTTAATTTTTCATTGCTGGCAATTCTTTTTTTACATCCAGCTGTCAGCAGGGAACCAGCTGACAACTGATGAGTCATCGGTTGTTAAGGACTTGGTGACTGGCTTCCCAGCCTGCTCCTTGACAACCAGCTGTTGATAAAGACATCGGTGGCTGCCGGATCCAAACATTTGCATCTAAATCGTATCTGGAAATTGCAGCTGAACTGCTTTGGAAATTCACAGTGAAAACGGATGGGAAATTCACACTGGACATGTGTGGACATGTGTGAACCTAGCCTAATGTTACAGTCTCACTTAAGCGGGCCCCGCAGCTGCTGAACAGATGATTTGCAGTGTGACTTTATTTTAGAGGTGACAGGACACCTTAAAGTGTTACTAAACCCACAACAGTAAAATCAGTCTGTATATGCAGTAAAGCATGCTTGTTATGCTCACTGTGGAACCTAAGGGGTTAATCCTCCGCATTGTGTAAAAAGGCTGTTTGATCCTGTGTTCTCTGATCCTCCTCTTCTACTGTCCCCAATCCATCTGCCGATAGTACAGAGCTCTTTGTGAGGGTGCATGTGATCAGCACAAGGTCAATCAGCACTGTCCAGACAGAGGATCAGGGGTTATGCAGCCTCATATGACAGCCAGAGCAGAATGAAAACTCCTCCTCCAAGCTTTAACCAGTCCTCAGTTGTACACTGATAGAAGTCACAAGACTGCTATATACTGCTGATGAGAAAAGGTATTTAGCAGTTTATATTTACTAAAATAATTGCATTTTCATGTTATGTGTACTGTGGGAGACCAAATATAGTGAATGCAGGGTCCTGGGTTTAGTAACACTTTAACACTGCTATGCGCAGGCAATGTTAATAGCCCTGCCTTACTCACTTCTCACGTAACCTAAGAACTCTGGAGCTTCACTCACTAGCCAATGAGGAGTGATCACTTTAAAGGGGACTGTTATATTTTTAAATTGGTGGTATGAGAAATGGTATTCCCAGATGGTATCCTGCATATCTTGGTTGTACCGAGTGGTTATTTGAGTTACTGTTGCCTTTCTATCATCTGGAACCAGTCTGCTCATTCTCTTCTGACCTCTAACATCAACAAGGAATTTTTGTTCACACAGCTGTCGCTCACTGGATATTTTCTTTTTTTCGGACCATTCTCTGTAAACCCTAAAGATGGTTGTGCATGAAAATCCCAGTAGATCAGTAGCTTTGGCTATACTTCTCCTTTAATTCAGTATAATGCTTTTGGCAGTTAAATAATAGGTAAATCCTTAACAACCAGTATCCCCTATAAGTAAGTGAATATATCAACCCTAAACGCCAAGGTATCACTTTCTCCCCCGAAAGTCTAAACAAAAAGCCTCTCACAGCATCTCTAAATCAAATAACCCCAAAGTGATGAATTATTCTTCTTTGTTCAATATCTTTCCGTGTGTAATTCCTACTCCATCCTCCACTTGTTAACCTGAACAAAAGATAAAACGCACATAGTGAATTATCCTCAATACACGCACAATTGTGACTACGAATCACACTTACAAAAATCCGTGTGAAATGTGCTCAACATTCCACCATGTATCTACGTATAAAAGTCTGCTATCCTTATGCAGGCCATAGACTGGTCGAAAATCGGCCGATTTTTTTTTCGGGCGAAAAAAAATTCGGCTGATTATTGCACCGTTAATGGGTTAATTGGTCAGCCGTTTTTCAGGGTTTTGGCACTTTTTTTATGGGTAAAGTTGGAAAAAAAAATCGGCCAATTTTGCCGATCGGCCGATTTTCCCGGCAATGATGGGCAAATTGGGCGATCATTTTACCGATAAAAAATCTGCACATGAGCCGTGACCTGCAAGAAGAAGAAAAAGAAGAAGAAGAGGAAGAAAAAGAAGAAGAATTCCAGTCGGCTATTATATTTGACATGAAAAAGTATTGCGGTTGCAACAATGTATCTATTTGTATCCGAATAAAAACATCTGTATCCGAAATGGATACAAATAGATACATTGTTGCAACTGCAATACTTTTTCATGTCAAATATAATAGCGGAGGTCTCTGCAAGGGACAGAAGTAATTAAATGCCGGCCCTAGACGGGACGAAAATCGGCCTATTTTTTTTACTGTTGGTGGTAACGTCGGCCTATTGAACGACCGATTTTTCATTTTTTTTTTTTAAACGGACGGTTTTCGACCCGTCTATGGCCTGCATTAATCTTACCTTCTAACTACTTGAAAATTGCCTTATATAACACATTCCACCATCAGGATTCTCTCACTAGGTAGACTTTTCTTTCGTCCTTCCTTTTGCAAGTGATGAACCCTCCGAAAAAATCACAATATAATATGATAATTTTGATTCCTCAATATTGTGCTCTTTTGTGCTCCCTTCACTCATTAGTTGTGCCACCAGTGAAAAGTGAATCCACTCTCCACCACCTCACAGACAATGCACCTTACTGGACTAAGTCAGATCATCAGCATGGGATAAAACGGGCTCCTCCTGGCCACTATTACTCCATATAACACATGGCAATCGGGCTACACCAATCCTCCAGTGTTGAATAGCAACGGTTACTTCTAGCCAATAATACTTCCGATTCCAAATAGCAGTATATATTGGGTCAAAACAAAAAGGAATCCATAGTGTATACAGTAATAAAATCAGCTATTTATTCAAAAAAAAAGCGCTTACACACAAACATAGTATATCAGCATTTTCTCCTTCAAAATCTACATCAGTATTTGTTCACTCTAGACCTCATCCAAGATGGCCGCTCAGCAACTTCCAGTCTACGTCTGACATCACCTCTGACACGTTTCATCACTTCCAACTTCAGGGATGAGCTCAGGCATGTTCAGATCCGAACCACCCTGAGCGATCCTGCCAGGAAACCATCACATGTACTGGGCCAATCATCTGCAGCCAGGGCATTTCCCACCCCACAGCTGCACGTTTACACCCCCATTGTGTAGGTGAAGCTGTGGAGAGGGGACTGTCTATACAGTGACAGCTTGGCGGGCTTGATCAGGCGGATGGAGACTAGGATACAAACATGTCTGAGCTCATCCCTATTACATAATGTTTTTATAGAGCTTGAAAGATCAGACAAAAAAAAAAAATAGAGGGGCAACTCAGGAGGAATGCCATTGGCTCCCGCTGCTGTCAGTCACAGTCAGTCAGCCAAAGAGGAGAGAGAGGGTGTGGGGCCAAGCTTCGGCTCCGTGTGTGTGAATGGACACAGTGGGGGCACCCGACAGACAGGAGGAGCCAGGAGAACCTGCGGGGGACCCAAGAAGAGCAGGACCCAGGCTGCTCTGTGTAAAACCACTGCACACAGTAGGTAAGTATAGCATGTTTGTTATTTAAAAAAAAAAAAAAGCATAAGCATAAATGCAGTCGACATGGTCAACTGACCGAAAGAGAGAAAAGGCCATTGTGCAGGATTGTGACCTAGAGTAAGAAAACAACTGCTGCAAGAGTGACTGCAGAGCTCAGTCTCAGTCCTGTGAAGACTAAGTTCCATGAAGACTGAGATTGAGCTCTGTAGTCACTTTTGCAGCAGTTGTGTTCTTACTCTGGGTCACAATCCTGCGCAATGGCCTTTTGTCTCTTTCTGTCAGTTGACCATGTTGACCACGCTTATGCTTAACAGAAGACATTTTTCCGGAAACAAAGTTACATCACTTCAGCTTTCAATTCAAAACACATCATCACTTTCACACCTGCAAATCTTGTAATGTTTCTATTTTATTGTCTAACCCCTGTATAACTGAAAGCTAATTTTTTTTTGTTGTCACCAGAACAGCAATAGAAGGGAAATCTTCCAACGGGAAACTAGTTTTAGTAGCCCTGGTGATAACCAACAATTTGCTCACTTTGCTGGGATTTCCATTCTTCCTGTTTTGGCTATGAAACATGAAGTAAAGGGAAATGTCCACAATGGGACACAGATGGCAAAAAAAAACTGACAGGGGTTACACCCCTCGCTTACTCTACCCAAAATGAATACAAAAATGTTTTGACATTAGTTCTGGCTTAACCTCCCTGGTAGTCTGATTATGTCAATATTTTGAATGTCAAAGCGGTACATTGTTTTGCTTGAAAGTTTGTTGTTTTATATTTTAGGCCTGTAATTCTTTGGAATAACTCACTGAAATCTGAAAGTCTAGTAAACATCCCGGGTATGAAAAAGTTTGAAACACAAAATCATAAGTTATAATATAATAAATAATTATAAAAAAATAATAACATAATAATAATAAATTTAATTCAATAATGTAATCAAACCAAAAACACTGAAATTTGAAATAGAGCACCAAGTTCGCACATCACTGAGCTCAGTCGCAGAATCGTCGCTGTCGTCACTTTCAGTGTCTGATGACGAATTTCCCCACGAATCATTATCGCTCAATTCTGCAAGTGATTCTAATTCACTATCGCTGTTTTATAGCTGGTCTAAAACCGCTTTTGACCTAAAGGGACGCTTTTTGGATGCTATGGACATTCTCAAGTTTCCAGGCTGAAAGAATGGTAAAGGTGCAGGCAGGGCACAGGACAAAGCACTAGGGACAAAACTGAGGTGAAACGATTTGATACAGTAATGTAATCCTAACAGATTACAATGTATTGTGTGTATGTCATGTTTTGTTTACTTTTTTGGATCTCCCGCTGGTTTCGCCCCCCCCCCCCATTGCGCGCTCGCAGGGAAGGGAACCCGGAAACCGGATGCTGGCATCGGGTGGAGGACACAGTGGGAAGACATCGGGGGATCGCAGGGACAAGGTAAGATGCACTACAGTGTAATCCTGAGTGTGGCTCAGGGTTACCGCTTCTGGTACTGAAAATTAACCCCCAGCCACACTCGGGAGGGAGGTTAATGGTAAGTCACTCTCTTGCAGGCTAAAAAGCTGCTGAATCTTGATCACTAGTGCTGGAGCAACAAGATGGCAGCAACTTCAGATTCACTAGCGTGACGTGGCCCTCAAAGTGAACCTGTGCATAGTTCAGAACTACTAAACTGGCAATAGAAGACACCTGGAGACAGCTACCACACCAGTTTAGGTCATGCGTCAGGTGACTTTTGATGTTACCCATAATTCATTCCTGAGTAGGTTCCTTTAAAATGAACAAGGCTGACTTGTTGCTGTGGGCAACACAAACAAAGCATCCTTCATCATTTCCGTCATGTGGCCTGGTGGTACAGCTGTGCTGTGTTGATTACACACAGAGCCAAGCCCTATCTGTCACGAACAGAGGGGATCGGAGCTATTTGATGGCTCAGCCTGAGGTTTTCTGTTCTTTTCTGCCAAAATATAATAAAAGGTTTTCTTTCCAGCATTGTTTTTGTACAAAGTTATAAATAGTTTTGAGAAAACATTCCGTATTTAGTCCAACTTCATCACTTCATTTTTCCAGCAGCTGACTACAGCTAGGCAACAAATACTGTAAATGTAAGCAGACTTTTGGGCAGGAACTGTTGAGGAACTCTATAGCCCTGTACACACAAGCCGAATATCGGCCAAAATCAGCTGATACAGTAGATTCCGCTGACATTCGGCCTGTGTGTTTGGATCCTGGTTTGACAGAAGCCGATCTCAAGGCTGGCTCTGTCCAAGGAGCTTGCTTGAACACCAGCATCCAATCAGCGCTCTCAGCCAATGGCTGAAAGCGCTGACCGGTGTGTTCTGGCGGGGGGTCCCCCTGTCAGAACGCATTCGTTCAGCGGGGAGATCACTGTATTAAAATTGCATCGTTAGTACAGTGGCATCTTCCATCCTCCTCGGTTTGCTTGTTTTTTTGTTCAGTCTGCTGGTTTACCATGTGTACCAGGCTTAAATCCCAACATGTCTTGTCTTTTACATGAAATTTATATATATTATATATATATGTGTGTGTGTGTATAACAGATGGCAGCACCAGGCTGCATGCACAGTCACAAGAAACACGACCTTCATAAGTCAATCTGCCAAAAGACATTGTCCTGTGTACATCAGGAGCTGAACATGTGCGTTACCACTTCTGCTATTTCATCAAGGACAGAAAGTTAGAACAACAAGCAATAAATTTAGGCCAATATACAGTGGGGCAAAAAAGTATTTAGTCAGCCACCAATTGTGCAAGTTCTCCCACTTAAAAAGATGAGAGAGGCCTGTAATTGGCATCATAGGTAGACCTCAACTATGAGAGACAAAATGAGAAAACAAATCCAGACAATCACATTGGCTGATTTGGAAAGAATTTATTTGCAAATTATGGTGGAAAATAAGTATTTGGTCACCTACAAACAAGCAAGATTTCTGGCTCTCACAGACCTGTACCTTCTTCTTTAAGAGGCTCCTCTGTCCTGCACTCATTACCTGTATCAATGGCACCTGTTTGAACTTGTTATCAGTATAAAAGACACCTGTCCACAACCTCAAACAGTCACATTCCAAACTCCACTATGGTGAAGACCAAAGAGCTGTCAAAGGACACCAGAAACAAAATTGCAGACCTGCACCAGGCTAGGAAGACTGAATCTGCAATAGGCAAGCAGCTTGGTGTGAACAAATCAACTGGGGGAGCAATAATTAGAAAATGGAAGACATACAAGACCACGGATAATCTCCCTCGATCTGGGGCTCCATGCAAGATCTCACCCCGTGGGGTCAAAATGATCACAAGAACGGTGAGCAAAAATCCCAGGACCACACGGGGGGACCTAGTGAATGACCTGCAGATAGCTGGGACCAACGTAACAAAGGCTACCATCAGTAACACACTATGCCGCCAGGGACTCAGATCCTGCAGTGCCAGACGTGTCCCCCTGCTTAAGCCAGTACATGTCCGGGCCCGTCTGAAGTTTGCTAGAGAGCATTTGGATGATCCAGAAGAGGATTGGGAGAATGTCATATGGTCAGATGAAACCAAAATAGAACTGTTTGGTAGAAACACAACTCGTCGTGTTTGGGGGAGAGAGAATGCTCAGTTGCATCCAAAGAACACCATACCTACTGTGAAGCATGGGGGTGGCAACATCATGCTTTGGGGCTGTTTCTCCACAAAGGGACCAGGACGACTGATCCATGTGCAGGACAAAATGAATGGGGCCATGTATCGTGAGATTTTGAGTGCAAACCTCCTTCCATCAGCAAGGGCATTGAAGATGAAACGTGGCTGGGTCTTCCAACATGACAATGATCCCAAACATACCACCCGGGCAACGAAGGAGTGGCTTCGTAAGAAGCATTTCAAGGTCCTGGAGTGGCCTAGCCAGTCTCCAGATCTCAACCCCATAGAAAACCTTTGGAGGGAGTTGAAAGTCCGTGTTGCCCAGCGACAGCCCCAAAACATCACTGCTCTAGAGGAGATCTGCATGGAGGAATGGGCCAACATACCAGCAACAGTGTGTGCCAACCTTGTGAAGACTTAAAGGAAACATTTGACCTCTGTCATTGCCAACAGAGGATATATAACAAAGTATTGAGATGAACTTTTGATATTGACCAAATACTTATTTTCCACCATAATTTGCAAATAAATTCTTTTTCCAAATCAGCCAATGTGATTGACTGGATTTTTCTAATTTTGTCTCTCATAGTTGAGGTCTACCTATGATGCCAATTACAGGCCTCTCTCATCTTTTTAAGTGGGAGAACTTGCACAATTGGTGGCTGACTAAATACTTTTTTGCCCCACTGTACATGTTTTTGGTAAGAAGAAATCCCAATAAGCGTATATTGATTGGTTTGCACAAAAGTTATAGCATCTACAAATTATGGGACATATACTGGAAATTTTGTTTTTTGTATACTAGTAATGGCAGCAATCAGCGACTTATAGCAGGACTGCAATATTGCGGCAAACAATCTGACACTAACTGACACTTTGTGGGAACCAGCGATACTGATACAGTGATCAATGCTAAAAATATACACTGTCACTATAGTAATGACACTGGCTGGGAAGGGGTTAAACATCTAGGGTGATCAAAGGGTTAACTGTGTGCCTAACCAGTGTGTTTGTGTTTACTTTTAGGTGCTTTTACTAAGGGACGTGCTGGATTTTATTCCCTGCTTTTCAGAGAAACATAATCCAGCACATCCCCGATGACAGATGCAGACATATGCAAAGCTCTATACAGTGTGTCTCCTTGCTGATCAGCAGGTGTCGGCGATCATCCATTGGCCAGCACATGCTGATCTGCTTTTGCTGTGACAAATGACAGCAGAAGCGGCATAAGCACCCCCTAACAGGAAGGGTGGAATCATGTATATATACACTAAGTGATTCTGCACAGACTGGTCACCCTATATAGAGCAGTCGGCAACTGTTTAAAAACCCGCTCCACCAAGTGTACAGAAATTAAATTTATAAGAAAGGAACCAGCATTTCTTCACCCCACACTATCAAATACAGGAAGTGTGTTACTGAAAAGAGCACCAGGTGAAAACAAATAGGGAAAAAGTATGAATTAAGATAACTGAAGCAGCCACCACATCTAGGGACCAATAAGCTGCAGTTTATTATATTTTCGTTTTGGGATTTACATATACTTTAAAGTGTTCTTGGCCTAACAGAGCATTGCACAGTTGGAAACACCAAAAGAAAAAAAAAATGTCCTCTACAATTCCAAAAAAGATAATGTCACCACTTCCCTATCTCACCCACAGTGTTATCACACCCTGCAGACGTTCTATATATATGTATTCATGGAATTTTAATGTTCATCAATGATACCACTTGTTAGCCATTGTGCTCTGACTCACAAAATGCTTTGTCCAATAGGATTATATCTCCTTAGATTATATATGGAGCTCCGTCTTCTTGGGCAACCTAAGGACTCCTGGGGTCATCCCTGGCAATGGGACCATACGCTGCAATCTGCATCATTTTATTATCTGTGACATGGACATTGGGAGAGAGGCCGGTAAGACAAGGTCAAAATTGTATGTTTCATCTCTAATATTCACTTTTAGATTTATAGGAAGGACATTGTATGCAACTATTCAGACTACCATTGCTGACCTTTCCTGAAAATACTTGTTCCCTGGCTGTCATGCTGATCCAATGGCTTTAGTATTTCACTAACCCAGAACAAGTGTGAAGATTAGGGGATCTGACTTTTTAGATCTGAATGCTTATTCCAGGCCAGCGACTCAGACAGTATTAAAGCCAGAAACAGCCAAGAAACTAGCTTTTTAAGGTTGAGGTCAGCGATGCAGTAATTTTGTTATCATAAATATTTTTTGTTGGCTAAATTATCACTAATTTAGTCGACTAAAATATGACTAAGGAGGAGTTTTCTTTCTGCTCTAGGAGGATGCAAAACCCCTGACCTCTGTCTGGACAGAGCTGATTGGCCCTGTGCTGATCACCTGCACTCTCCCAAGAAAAAAAAAAAAACCTCTCTAGTAATACACACCAAAATGAGAATGTGCAGAAGGGCTACGGGTTCAGTCTGTCTTATCTGTGTGGATATTTGAACAAGAGGACGGCAGAGAAGACAGGATCAAACAGCCTTTTTACACAGTGAGTATAACAAGCATGCTTTACTGCATATACAGACTGATTTTACTGTTGTGGGTTTAGTAACACTTTAAAATACTAAATAATAAGTTATTCGATTTTACTTCAGGAGTATATAATGAGTTTGGAAACTCTAGGGAAATGCTTAAATAATGTGTTACAATTTAACTAAACCCATTACATTTTAGTTGACTAAAATGTACTGGAGATTTTAGTTGACTAAAATATGGCTAAAACTAAAACAATTCAGATGACTTAAATATATGATTAAAACTAAAATGGCATTTTGGTCAAAAGACTAAAACTAAATCAAAATGTGACCACAAAATTAACACTGCAGTGATGGCAGGCCCCATATTTCTTCCAGCACAGGTTTCCTATAAATAAGGCGAAGAGAAATATGGAAAATGCAGCAATCCATAGCAACCAATTAGCATTCTTCTTTCATTGTTCTGACTTCTGAAAGGGAAAATATGACCGGCTGGTATGGGTTGCTTGCACATCATTGTTGCATTTTGTAGTGTTTAAATAGTGAATTGGTAGTGAAAATAAATTAGTTCCACAATTTTTATATAAATAGAGGGTATGGAATTCTCCTCTCTACATTGATGCTAAAAAAAAGTCTGGTCTGTATAGACAAACCATTGTGTCCATACTTGCCAATAGTTCTCATCCTGAGCTTTCAGGGTCTGTAAGCAGATTGAACTTCATTAGATAGGTGCTGCCCCAGAAGGGAGGGTTAGGGGTTAATGCCTTTCCTGGTTCTTTGGCTTTTTGGTGGGATCTTTGGGTCGGACCCACTGCACCTGTGTATATAAAAATGGACAGTGGACCAAGTCCAAAGAGTTCCCTGGCCTTGCCTTTTTTTCTTTTTCATGGTCTTGCCTGTTTTCTCAGTTCCCTGAGGAGAACTGCACCCGGCAAAATGGCACAGAGTAAAGGTAACCCATGTGTGTGAAGTAGAGTGATTATGTCTCAGGTGCCTAGCTAGCCCAGAAAAACACACCCTGGGGTAGGTCTCTCATGTTTCCCAGAATTGGCACCCAACAAGTCAATTGAAAAATGTGGAGGATGTAACCTTCACCCCTATCTACTTACCCCACACGCCATAGTGAGGTTTCTCAACTGTTGGATCTCTATGATGCTGGCTAGACATTGTGTTATAACAGGAGTAGAGTTTTGTTTTCATGTTGCTAGGATGTAGGCTTTTGCTGCATTAAGAAGGTGTTTAAGCAGTGAACTTTGCTATTTTTTAATATGCAGTCACCGGCCACTTTGTTAGGTATGCCTGTTCAATTGCTAATCAGCCAGCCATACGGCAGCAACTCAATGCATTTAAGCATGTAGACGTAGTGAAAATAACTTGCTGAAGTTCAAACCAAGCATCAGAATGAAGAAGAAAGGGGACTTAAGTGACTTTGAACATGACATGGTCGTTGGTGCCAGACAGGCTGGTCTGAGTATTTCAAAAACTACTGATCTACTTTAATTTTCATGCACAACCATCTCTAGGGTTTACAGAGAATGGTCCGAAAAAGAGAAAATATCCAGTGAGCGGCAGTTGTGTGGATGAAAATGCCTTGTTGATGTCAGAGGTCAGAGGAGAATGGGCAGACTGGTTTGAGATGATAGAAAGGCAACAGTAACTCAAATAACCACTTGTTACAACCAAGGTACGCAGAGTATCATTTCTGAACGCACAACACATCCAACCTTAAAGCAGATGGGCTGCAGCAGCAGAAGACCACACTGGGTGCCACTCCTGTCAACTAAGAACAGGAAACAGAGGCTACAATTCACACAGACTCACCAAAATTGGATAACAGAAGATTGGAAAAACGTTGCCTGGTCTTATTAGTCTTGATTTCAGCTGCAACATTCAGATGGTAGGGTCAGAATTTAGTGTAAACAACATGAAAGCATGGATCCATCCTGCCTTGTACCAATGGTTCATGGATGTGCAGCCGACAAATTTGCAGCAACTGCGTGATGCCTTCATGTCAATATGGACCAAAATCTCTGAGGAATGTTTCCAACACCTTTTTGAACCTATGCCACAAAGTATTAAGGCAGTTCTGAAGGCAAAAGGGTGTCCAACCCAGTACTAGCAAGGTGTACCTTAGTGGCCGGTGAGTGTATAATGGAGTATTGTGCAGAAGACAGGCTGCTGGGTTCCTCTCCAGAGACACACTTTTAAGAGTCTTTATCATTTGTTCTCTACAAATTCCCAGAGTGGCACTCCCAGGAAATTCCTAGATTGTAAGCTCGAAAGAGCAGGTCCCTCGAACCCCTCGTGTATTGTTTTGTTACTGTATTGTCTCATGTTCTGTCCCTCACTATAATGTACAGCGCTGAGCAAACCTTTTGGCGCTATATAAATACTGTATAATAATAATAATAATATGCAAGAAGATTTGTTTTCCAATAATGGTTGGATACTTGGGGGAATATTTGATATAGGACCTTAGGGGTCCTATGCCGTTTGGTTAGGAGTTTATATCCACCTATACAAGCTATGAAGAAATCCAAAATGTTTCAGATGTCACCAGAGCAGGAGATGAGGGGAATCGTCCAATCAGAATACCTGTTTTGGTGACAACTGTCTAAAGGGGATATCCAGGAGCGGACTGACCACTTGGAAACTCGGGCACTGCCCGAGGGCCCAGGATCAGTAGGGGGCCCCATGAGATGCCCCTGGTACCTTTTTCATAGGCTTTTTTGAGTTTGGGCAAGGACACAGGGGCCCCATGATCCCCTATTGCCCGGGGGCCCCATGACTTGTCAGTCTGCCCCTGGGGATATCTCTTCATTTTGGAGAGTTCACCTTTTTCTTCCTGCTGTGTCTGTGGGACAGGAAGAGAAGGAAAATCTTCCCAAAGGGACACATACAGGGAAAAAAACCTGACCAGGATCTTCACCCTATCCAAAACTGAAAAAAAAATTAACTTTCTTTTTAAACCAAGGATGAAAATCTCTCAGTGGAACGGGGGATATGACTAAAAACTTTAAAAGCTAACACCACATTTCTGAGCATTTTTCATGTTATACCCATATTTAGGGTATATTATAAAGTATGTTCCGAGTGTCCAAAACCCTTAGACTGTTTGTTGAGCCATCAGAGAGAGTGTGGAAAATTCCCTTTGCCCAGCTGTGGGAGCTGTGAAGTGGAAAAAGACCTGAAATCCAGTGGCTCCTCCAGGGGTTTCACTACTCTAACCTTAGAAAGCCTTATTTTACCAGAAGAGCAGTTGATTCTTGAAACAGACTTCCAGCAGAGGTAGTTAGTTAGTCAGTCAACAGCAAGTAAAGCCCAATACACACGATGACAAATGATTGTCCATTTTTTTCTTGCATGCTAGTCTCATATCAAAAAAGAATAGGTTAGTAAGTTACAAAAATTCTTGTAAGACAGAATACAACTTCAGAAGTGATCTAATGTATTGTATTGTAATGCATTCTTTCGTTTTGGAGCATTAGCGGTCTTACTCACTTGATTTTTTACTGATACTGTATTGATTAAACAAAAATCATTCGTTCTGCTCTCGTACAAGGAAAATGTTCATGCTTGTCTCTTTGCATGACCTGTCGTGATTGGCTCTCGAAAGCTGTGTACTAACAATCAGATTATCGGATGATTGCTCCGAAAGCAGTATTTGTTCTCCAATTTTCTCATTGTGTGTACTAGGCTTAAATGTAAATATGCCTGAGACAAACACAGAGCTATACTCAGACACTTTATTAGGTACACCTGTTTAATTGCTTGGTAATACAAATTGTTAATCAATCAGTCACATGACAGCAACTCAATGCATTTAGGCATCTAGACATGGTGAATACAACTTGCTGAAGTTCAAACCGAGCATGGATTTAAGTGACTTTGGATTTAAGTGACTTTGAACAATGCATGACTGTTGGTGCTAGACGGGCTGGTCTGAATATTTCAAAAACTGCTGATCTACTGGGATATTCACACACAACCATCTCTAGGGTTTACAAGGAATGGTCCAAAAAAGAGAAAATATCCAGTGAGTGGCAGTTGTGTGAATGAAAATGCCTTGTTGATGTCAGAGGTCAGAGGAGAATGGGCATTCGATCTCAGCTGTGACATTTAGATGGTAGGGTCAGAGTTTGGCATAAACAAACATGAAAAGAATGGATTCATCCTGGTTTGAATCAATGGTTCAGGCTGTTGGTGGTGGTGTGTGTGTAATGGTGTGGGGGATATTTTCTTGGCACTAGCAAAGTGTACCTAATAAAGTGGCCAGTGAGTGTATATTTTCTGTGTTTTTCTATTTCCAGTGACAGATCTGCCAGCTCATGTTGAGCTTATAGAGGAACTTGACAAGCAACATATATTTCTTTTGGGTGTACTGGAGACTGAAGTCTCACCTTTTTTCTTCATTTGTTAGGAATGTCCCCAAGTTTGCCAATGTCCCGAAAATCCCACCTGCCCTCTGGGAACAGTTCTGGACACTTGCGACTGTGGATGCAATGTGTGCGTCCAGGATATTGACTCTGAGTGTGACGGATTCAGACCCTGTGACAACATGAAAAATCTGACCTGTGATTATCAACTGGACCCTATGAAAAAGCAAGGAGTGTGCAAAGGTTAGTGAATAGCAGTTTTCCTAGAAACAGGTTATGTAGTCCCGTTTATGATTTTAAAGGGCAGTGCCAGAGTTTGCTGTATAATCACTAAAACTGTATTCTTGATTGAATGCAAGCAACCCTTTGTTATCAATGTCCACCAATTTCTGCTCATAATGTCTTGGCTTTTTAATTGGAAACTATAATAGATTTGGGCAAATTTTAATTACATTGTTTAGGTTGATGTGTTTTTAAGTCCTCATTCTCACTGGGCATTTTAAAAATGCCAGTAGCGTTAGCTGCATAAAGTCATGTTAAAAATGTGAGTTTTTCTGCATTTTCTAGCGTTTTTGCATTAGCATTTAGCTGCATTTTTAAGTGATTTCTTTTTTTAGCATTTTTACCCCCAAAAAAAACATTTTGGATAAAAAAACGCCGAAAAAAAGCCAGTTTGCCACGTTTTGCGTTAGAATGTTTTTAAAGCTAAAAAACTCTAGAAACCCACTAGTTCTGTTTTTTTTTCCAGCCCAAAGATGCCCCTGCCAAAAAACACTGATTAAAGTCTATGTGTGCATGAACACATAGGGGTTTATTTACTAAACCTGGAAAGTACAAAGTTAGGCTCACTTCTGCATAGAAACCAATCAGCTTCCAGGTTTCATTGCCAAAGCTTAACTGAACAAGCTGAGGTTAGAAGCTGATTGGTTTCTATGCAGACGTGAGCCTGACTTTGTACTCTCCAGGTTTAGTAAATAAACCCCATAGGATAACATGCTGGTGAGTTTACTGCCTATAGAAAAAAACGCCAAAAGCCAAACAGCAGCTGTAAAAACGTCCAGTGTGCATGAGGACTAGAACTGGTACTTTATATATACATTTTACTATGTATATAAAATCTTTATTTTTCAAGTAAACATTTAAAATAAGTTGGGGACATTGGGATTGCAGAGCATTCTAAAGTGAAACTTTATACAAAGCCATCTGGTGATGAGTAGTGGGGCTTAGTTACTTTTCTGACGCAATCAGCTATGTGTGTGTAACCTGAGCTTTAATTATAAAACACTGTAACCATCATTTTTTATCAACAGCAATTAAAACAGAAATATTTCCCCTTTCCCTAAAATGCACATCAGTGTTCTTCTTTGCATACTGATCTTTGCTTAATGCTTTTTTTTGCCTTCCATTTCCTGTTTTCCTTGAAGACAGTGGTGACATAGCCCCAGCTATGATACCCACTGTGACAGATGCCCCCTGGGAACGCAGTGTCATCATTGTCTTCATGGAAATCTCATACCTAAACTGCAAGATCTCACAGTATTGTCATACCAAGCATGTGTAAGATTAATTGCATGACATTATGCCTTATTGTCCCTATACACTGTATGAAATTACATTCAATTACTGGGAAAAATGCTTCTCCTTGCGATCTTTTGAGGGGTCTTTTTGTCAAGAGATGTAAGTAATGTGGTACAGCACATGCACAAGATGAAGTGTATGATGTCATGAGCTCCAACAGACCCATGTGCAGTATCAAGTAAATTGGCAGCACAGTAACGAGGACCCAGGCAACACTGAGGCAGGACAACAATAGGTAAGAATGAAGAAAGTCACAATGAGTTACATAGGGCTGCTGTTAGAAACCATGGGGCCCCATACAGCTGACCTGACAGGGCCCACTCCAAGAAAAAAAAAAAAACAGTTTAAAGCACAGTACTGATCACTCATTGTGTTCATTCATTCAAGAAAGGGATTGGTAATTGTAACATATTTACCAGACCCATTTCCCACTCTCCATTTTGAAGGATCCTATTGTGTGCTTGCAGCTGCCTGTGGGAGGGAAGCCAGCAGCACTGCAGGGGTTGGGGGCACACGGGAGGGGGGGGGGAGGGACCTGGGCAGCAGAGGGAAAAGTATGGTGCACAGGGAGGATGATGGGTGCAGTGTGTGGGGGGGGGGGGGTGGCAATTACTGGAACTGATTCCCTGTATGACTCCCTGCAGCAGGAAGAGGAGAATAATTCAGCTTTCATGTTGCAGAAAGAGCCATACAGGGGACTGGTTCCAGTAATTTGATGCCATGCCCATATCCAACTCACCCAGCCTGGGCCCCCCTCCTGGCCTGAGCCCCGTACAGGAGGACTGGTGGTACCCACTTATCCACGGCCCTGGATATACAGTAGGTAAGTATGATTTTCTATTAATTAGTGACAGGTTTATGGAATGAAGGAGAAGGTCCTCTTTAAGGTTAGCATGGCAAACATGTTTAAAAAACATCCTAGAGCTGGCTGAATAATGTGGGCTTTTATGCTTTCTTACCCCACAGACCATGGAGGCAGCAGTGGGAACTATTGGCTCTTGCTATTGTCAATCACAGCCTGTAAGGAGAGAGCAGGGGGCAAGGCTGAGCAGCGCTGTGTGTGGCGCAGCTCGGGATAGAGCCCATACAAGAGCCTCCATAGCAAGTGGCTTGCTCTGGGGGCAATTGGTAGGGGAGGAGCCAAGAGTGGCGGCGGGGGACCTCGGAAGAGGAGGATGGGGGCTGCTCAGTGCCAGACCACAGGGCAGGTAAGTATAACATGTTTGTTATTTAAAAAAAGAAATACATTTTTAATCACTTTAACAGAATTGCACCCTGATGCATTAAAGCCAAGCTCACACAGGCGGCAAAGGGCTGGTAAAAACAGGCAGTTGATTCACGTACAAACAGAAAGGCCACTCAGATTTGTTCAGTGATACAGTTTTGCTAAGTGGTACAGCAAATTTAACTCAGATTATTATTATTATACAGGATTTATATAGCACCAACAGTTTGCTCAGCGCTTTACAATATAAAGGGAGACAATACAGCAATTATAGTATAGTACTGCTTGCCAAACACACCCATTAAAATTAATAGAATCACGCCACGCTGGGAGTACTGCCAACTACACCCCTGTAAATTGCTGCTCAATCACTTCTAAAAAACAATCCACCATGGATCACTTTTTAGAGGTGTGGTAAAGTTCACTGCCTGTATGAAAGGGAGCTCATGCAATTCACCTATCTTTTAGAACGCTGCAATGCAAAGAAGTAGATGGGCCCCAAATCTGTCTTAGAATTTGGCAAAATTGTCCCAGTTGACTGCTTAGGAATACAGGTGCAGGGGTCATAAATTCAAAAAATGGTACAGTATGTAGACATTGCATCCTGATCTGCATCTAATGGTGTCACTGATTTGCTTACTGAATTTCTCCAATTAGGTAAGTGACAATACTTAGATCACATACCAAACATTTTCTCCTCATTTCCTGTCTTGGTAACAGGTTGACACTGAGGCTAGAAGTGAAGGAAAATCTTCTCATTGGGGATAATCACAGAAAGAAAACTTTTTACTTTAGTATAGAGAGAAAGATTTAGGGTCCATGCACACTGGCTTAAAAAAGCAGGGCTCTTTGCAGAACTAAATGCTAATTTTGAGCATTTTATGTACTAGCATTTAGGAACATTTAGTAGCTTTTAGGCAGAACACCTCTAATGATGACACATGTTGAAACATGTCAGCCCACAGCCTGACCTGCAGCCTATGTTTGTGGCTGGAGCTGGCGGCCTTTTTTGTACATGTACATACCTCCTTAGTGTCGGGCATGACACATGGCAATGTGAGTGTACTTATCATAGTTTTCTTATCAATAAATAGTGGATTGTTTCAAGCTATAAAACCTTCTTTTTTTGTTTTTTGACATGTTGGCAAATGATCTGGAGCTGTGAGAACCTCGCATGACTAGTTTGCAAGTCCATTAATGAAGGGAATGGATCCATTAACTCATCTTTGTATGTTCGAGACTGATACAGGATCTGATGTAGATTGTATAGTATATGACACCTTTTAGTCCCCTTTTCTACGTGTGGACCCAATCGGGTCCATTTGTCTGTTTTCCAAGAGAACCTGATCAGGCGCTGCATTGCTCTCTATGGAGCCGTGAGTGCAAACAGACATATGTCCGTTTACACCTGCCTACATCTGATCTGATCCTGTTCGCTAAAAACTGATGGATGGGGATCTGTTCTCCATCCATCTGGCAGATCGGATCAGATGACAGTTGGATGGAAACGAACAGGTGGTCCATTTCCATCTGACAGCCGATTGAGGACAGCGGGCTGTGTCTGTGTCTGCTCATCATAAGTTGAGCGGACACTGACCTGTCATCCACTTGCTCAGCGAGGATCAGCAGACAGATCCCCCACTGAGCAAGCGGATCTGCTGACCGGTCCATCCCATGTGAAAGGGGCCATATAAATACACATTTTTATTTATTTATTTTTCTTTTCGAAAAGAGGTGAGTCATTTACCTAAAAAGGTGAAGGACACTGGGTGTTTTTATATCACATTTTGAACAAAGAGGATTTTGTTACAATTTTATTGTCTTTTATTTAAAAAAAAAATCTTTTTTTTTGCACCCATCACACTTAAAGGTGAACATTAACCACTTGCCGACCGCCTGCAGTACTTGCAACTAAAGTGTCAGAAAACGCTTGGTCTTCAAGTGGTTAGAAGAGTGGGTGGTGTGTGGCAGAGGCTTCTAATGTTGGCCCTGAAATGCCAGGGTAGTAGAATCACTCCCCCCCCCCCCAATGACACCTTTTTGGAAAGTGGACACTCCAAGTTATTTGCTAAGGGGCATGGTAAGTATTTTGCAATCTCATTTGTTGTACATTTCCAAGGTTTTGGAAAATGAAAGAAAACGAAAATGTATTTTTTCTCTTCTTTTTTTTTTTCAAAACCCTGTGACCAAAATGAAATCTGCCAAATACTCACCATGCTTCTTATCAAATTTCTGAGTGTGTTTACTTTCCAAAGAGGGGTAATTTGGGTGGGTGTTTGTACTATCCTAACATTTTAAGGGCCTCCGAAACTGTGATAGGTAGTGAGGAAGTGACATGAGGAAATATGCCCTTTGAAAGCCTGAAAGTGGTCATAAGATTTTGTGGGCCTGAATGTGGCTAGGCTGCCAAAAATACATTCATATGTGGTATCCCCATACTTTGGAGAAATTAGCAGAATGAGTTTTGGGGTGTTATTCCACATATACCCATGGCATGTGTGAGCAGTAAATAATTTAAGTGATAACTTTGTGTAAAAAAATTTCATTTTACAAAAATGTGTGGTAAAAGTAAAATCTTCTATGGACTCAACATGCCTCTGAGAAAATTCCTTGGGGTGTCTACTTTCCAAAAAGGGGTCATTTGGGGGTTTGTTTGTACTGTCCTGGCATTTTAGCACCTCAAGTAATGTGTAGGCAGTCAGAAAGTAAAAGCTACAAACCAATTAATATACACATATTGGTTGTTTTTTTTTTTTTTTACCAAAGACATGTAGCAGAATACATTTTGGCCTAAATTCATGAAGAAATTTGATTTTATTGGATATTTTTTATAACAGAAAGTAGAGATTATTGTTTTTTTTTTTAATTTTTCGTTTTTTCAAACTTTTCATTCTTTTTCCTCGTTTATATCACAAAAAATAAAAACCCCAGTGGTGATCAAATACCACAAAAGGAAATCTCTATTTGTGTGAAAAAAAAGGACATGAATGACCACGCAATTACCAGATGAAATAATGAAGTGCCAAAAAGCAAAAATTGGCCTGGTCAGGAAAGGGGGAAAACCTTCCTGGGCTGAAGTGGTTAAGAACTTGGTTTGTATTTATTTGGATTTACAAATAATTAATATGGACACATTGTTTGTGAACTGAGCAGTAACATTTTTTGAGCATAATATTTGTGAAAGTGGATATATATTTTTTGATACATTGTTACACAGTGTTATCTATAACTTTCTTGTTTTAGGTGATTTAACACTTAATATTTAAAGTGCAGTCACTCACATAACTGTTTGGCACACTCCACAGAGAACATAGTGACTGCAAATGGATACATATTTTATTACGCTTTTGGAGCAGAGTTATTATATTTTATAGTCATATATTAGAAGCATCAGTGCCTTAGATCCCACACTGCAGATATAAAGCTATGAAGCTGTAGGAACAAGAGTGCCTAGGCACAATCACATACCAGGAAGCTTACTATTTTTCAACAAGAAATTCTAAACACCAGGTAATTTTTAGGCTCAGTTAAAGTGATTGTAAACCTTTTTTTTTTTAAAATATTAAACAGGTTTAATACTTACCTTTTCTGTGCAATGGTATTGCACAGAGCAGCCCCGAACCTCCCCTTCTAGGGTCCCCCACTTTTGGCCCCTCCTCTTCTGTGTCTGCCCCCATAGCAAGCTATGCTAGGGTGGCAGGTGTGCAGACTCATTCCCGAGTCGGGCTGTGTGAGTCTGTAAACACACACAGCGCTGCTTGGACCTACCCCCCACTCTCTGCTCACATTATTTGGCTGACAGCAGCAGGAGCCAATGGCTTCCACTGTTCTCAGCAAAAATCCTGTGAAACCAGAAGAGAGGAAGTGAAGACATGCAGTTGGGCACAACACTGGATCCATTTTCAAGTAGGTGTTAGGGAGGGGAAGGGGGAGACACAGAATGGAAGGTTTTTCCTCTTAATGCAGAAAATGACTTTAGACTTTAGAACCACTATAAAATTACTAATTGTTCACTATAACATAGCACTATGTTTTTAAAGAGGTAAGTGACCCCTAGGCTTGCATTGTCGGAAGGAGGAGTAAAGCCCAACCACTGTGTAGCACTGCACATCACAGCCCATGTATGCAGGTTTTCATAATACTAAGAAGTAAAGAGAGAAGAGGAACTGGCTAATTTTAGCAATAAATCAGGCAAACCCTCAATCTACATAAGCTAACTACTAAGCTGTAGTTAAATGTAAATCTGAACAATTTGATTGTAACACGTGCAACCAGCTGTGGCCATAATAAAAGTTGAATTCTCAGGGTTCACTATAGATTATTGCACTCTGCACATTGGTCTTTATCCTATGTTGCTCCTTGTCCTTATTCTGTGTCCATAGATCCAGAAGAAGATTCTACACTGGTGTTGGACATGCCTACCTGCAAGCCTGCTACTGAATGGACCCCCTGTTCGAAAACATGTGGATTCGGCAACTCCATACGGATAACGTATGAAAAAGAGACCTGTATTCCAAAGGCTGAGCGGAGGCTGTGTATGGTCAGACCTTGCAGGAGCCAATATACCAGAGCCAATTACACGGTGAGAAGTGGATGGAGGAATTGTTGGAGAGTGTAGACATTTCTGGACCCAGAAAGCCTACTCAGCCTGCTATAGTGGCCTGCAGGAAGAAAGAGCTATTGCATCCTCCCCACACAAAGAGGGCTTTCCAATACATGGAGAGGTTCCAATACACTCAAAAAGAGTTGATGTCCCATGTTAAAAAAAAAGGAGGGAAGTTTACCATGTAGCTCTTCAGCAGCCATAGGTCAAAAATAGAAAGATTTTGTTGATGATACTATGTGATTCGCAGCTGAATGAAGATGACCCATCTGAGACGTTAAAGCCCACTTCCAGCTACAATGGGATCTTGTGTAATAGTGCGGGAAAGGGTTAGAGCCTCTATCAGATTTTTATTGCTGTAGCCAACACTGTGCTTCATCAATCAGTTGGTTAAAATACCATATACTTTACATTGCATCTTTGTTTCAGTCCAATTCCCGTTTCCTGTCTTTTAGTCATAATGAAGGGGTGAGTTTTGGCCCCCACAAGATACTGCATTTCTTTTCTGATCTTCCACCTGGTTATACATTGTAGTAAATTTGTTTTGGACTATTAACTCCTGGCATAGTGCTTCAGTATCAGATCTATTTATTTTCAATACAAACCAAGAAAACTGATGGAATCCTTTGCTGTGAAAAAGTCGCCAGACTGAAATCGAGACACCCTGTATAAACAATACTGCAAAGCTATTGGATAACAATGCCAATAGGATCACCCCAGGGTTCCAGCTCTACTGATCCATTCCCCAGGCATATTTTTTCACTGACGGTGTCTAAAGCTTCTTTCACACTTTTTGGAAATTAGTCGGTACTATTAATTTTTTATATTTAGTGGTTTTATTAATGTTCCCCATTTTAAAGCAGCATCCAGTTCTTTTTACTAGACTGGGATTCTTGAAATTGCAATTATAACTGAATTTGAATAACTAGTGTAATGCCTTATAGTAAACTAAAATGGCTAGAGTTTCCTGTATTTAAGACCAGGGGCTTCTAGACATCTTAGATGTGGTTATGGCACCCCCCTCATGGCTTGTGAAATGCTAATATTTTTGCATTAAATAGTATTTTGCCTCTCCTACAGGTCCTGAAGCCCACCAACGCCTGTAGTCGCGTCATGCGCTGGTCCCAGCCTCTGCACCTTCGTTTTCGTGACTGCCTGTCACGCCTTCCTCTACTCCCCCGATTCTGCGGTCATTGCTCTGATGGACGACTCTGCAGCCCCTCAGTCACTGAAACACGCCCAGTGGCTTTTCAGTGTGCTCACCTTGATAGAAAAGTTATCCGCCAAGTGATGTGGGTGCGGCGGTGCACCTGTGGGGGGAAAAGATCAAAAAAGGGCAAAGGAAAGAAAAAATTGCAGGAGAGAACTATGACTTTTGGAAAGGAGGATACAGAAGATATTGAAGAGGTGGATGAAATATAAATCTTGATCTGCTGGACTTGTGTAGAAAACAAGAACAGCTTAAACTGGATATGAGGATAAATATCAGTCAAACATGAAAACGTACAAGAGACTGGTGCTTAAACTTAAAGCACTGTCTTATAAAATGATAAATACATATAGATTGAAAGTGTTGTTTAAATGGAATCTGTCACTTTGCCCTTTGAGGACTAAATGAAAGGTTCTCTTAATATATTAACATCATCCCACCCAGTTATACTCACCTTCCCTACGCTCTCACACCACTCTGTTTGTCTGTCAGAGCCGTGAGTCTAGTCACTGGGTTACTTCAATGGGTAGACCCCAACACTGCATCCTGGAAGGAAGGGGGGGAAGGTCTAATGCTCCTTGATATTAGCAAGTGCCAGGCTTTTCCCAGGTCCCTGGGATCAGCAGATCAGCAGGCGTGTGACAAAGGGGTGACTGCTAATGTTGGGGGTCTTTCAAAAGTACCTTTCACTTTGCCTTGAATGGTCAAAGAGACAGATTGGGGTTGATTTACTTAAGGCAAATAGACTGTGCACTTTGTGAAGTTGCACTCATTTAGCTTGAGCTTAGTAAATGTGGTGAAGCTTCACTTTGTAACAAATACCCAATCAGGTGAAAGGAAAATAAAAAAGCAACATTTTTGCTTGCACAAGATTGGATGATGGGAATCAGTAGAGCTTCATGACATTCACTGCTCTCTAGGGAAAATGAGTGCAACTGCACTTGCAAAGGGCACAGACTATTTGCCTTTAGTAAACCAACCTCATTATGTGTGAGGGGTCACTCCATCCAAAACTTTCTTTCCCTGTCTCATCATAAAGAAGTGACAAAAAGCCTGGTGCTGTGTAAAAATACAAGTCTAGAAATTAGAACTGTAGTTGGTGCTGTTGCATCTTACCTTGCACAGGCTTAGCAGTGCCATATGGAAAACATGCTTCCTGAATGCTGGGAGGTCTGCTACACTGAACCCCCAACTACGCTGTCATTCCACAGATCCAGGCCTGATCAGTTGCAGACCAGTAGAATAGTTCTGTGTTTTTTTATTTGCTTTTTGTTGAAACTCTTGCATGTTCTGAGCGTTTTACATTATGAATTAAATAAAACCCATCACATGTTTCCAATCTTCTGGTAAATTCATTTATGTAGATAATGAAATAAAGATGCCAGCGGCAGCAGTGGGTGGAGGGAAATGAGCAACATGAATGGCACTGACAGCGTACATGTAAGCAGGGGGCAGTAGGTGACAGAAGACGATATGATGGATGTTTCTGGCTTTTAAAGTTCATCACAAATGTTACAATATGACTGGATAGAACTTAATTGGATAGTTCAGGCAGGTTCCCCACAGTGTTTGTAAATCTAAAGTTGATTCAAAGAATGTAAGGTCGGATCGTATGGTGTATGGTGAGGACTTTAAAGGTATCATTCTGAATCAAAGAATCATATCATAAAAAAGTAGTTTCATAAATGTATTACAACAAGTTGAAATCATTGACAAATTGATTACAATTCAATAGTATGTACAATATATCACACTATTGTTACCTCCTAACCTTTACTCTTAATCTGTTCCTATCGGGTCTTAAATTATACCTTCGTGCTCAGAGAAGTCATATTCAAGCATTACCTTCTACAAATTAATTTTGTCCAAAATATCACTCTAAATAGGAAAATGAGTTGGGTAGGCCAACCTTATCACCCAATTCTGAGAAACCTAAAAATGAGCCTAGTGTCCACACTGCAAGGGTTACTTACTCATTTAGGTCTAGGGAACTTGTTCAAGAAGATTTACTTACCCTCATCTTCTCCTGCTCTGTGCTGCTAAACTGGCCCTGCAGCGTCTTCCTCCCTACACTCCCAGCAGTATAAGATCCTAATGTCCTCAAGACCAATGCAGAGTCCCTAGTTCTGCATTGGACATGATGATGCCAAGGCACTATAGACCCCCAGAATGTAGGGAAGTGCTGCCTGCTGGGGGAGCGGAGGCTCTGGTAAGTAAAAATGCTTTTACATTCTGCTAGACCAGTGGTCGGCAAGCCGCGGCTCGCGAGCCACATGCGGCTCTTTACCCAGTCTAATGCGGCTCTTCTGTGTGCCGGGCGCCTGCTCCCCTCCCTCCTCTCGGTCGGCCGCTCCCCTGCCTCCTCTCGGTTGGCAGCCCCAAAAGTCCGCGCGGACCTTTTAATCCAGCCTGCGGATGTGGCTGTCAGGATGTGTGTAGGCGGGGCAGCGTGCCGAACGTGAGGGGAGGGGAGCTAGGCTCCTCTCACAGTCCGCCCTGAAGACCCGAACGGCGCGGGAAGACAGCGAGAGGAACGCAAAAGGTAAGTGAATTGACACGGGGGAGGCTTACTAGAAGGGGGGGGGGAATAGTACTGTGGGGGATGAAATACTATATGAGGGATGAATTACTTTATGAGGGATGAAATACTATATGGGGGGATGAAATACTATATGGGGGGATGAAATACTATATGAGGGATGAAATACTATATGAGGGATGAATTACTATATGAGGGATGAATTACTATATGAGGGATGAAATACTATATGGGGGGATGAAATACTATATGGGGGGATGAATTACTATATGAGGGATGAAATACTATATGGGGGGATGAAATACTATATGAGGGATGAAATACTATATGGGGGATGAATTACTATATGAGGGATGAATTACTTTATGAGGGATGAAATACTATATGGGGGGATGAAATACTATATGAGGGATGAAATACTATATGAGGGATGAATTACTATATGAGGGATGAAATACTATATGAGGGGATGAAATACTATATGGGGGGATGAAATACTATATGGGGGATGAAATACTATATGAGGGATGAAATACTATATGAGGGATGAAATACTATATGAGGGATGAATTACTATATGAGGGATGAAATACTATATGAGGGATGAAATACTATATGGGGGGATGAAATACTATATGGGGGGATGAAATACTATATGGGGGGATGAAATACTATATGAGGGATGAATTACTATATGAGGGATGAAATACTATATGGGGGGATGAAATACTATATGGGGGGATGAAATACTATATGAGGGATGAATTACTATATGAGGGATGAAATACTATATGGGGGGATGAAATACTATATGAGGGATGAATTACTATATGAGGGATGAAATACTATATGGGGGGATGAAATACTATATGAGGGATGAAATACTATATGGGGGGATGAAATACTATATGAGGGATGAAATACTATATGGGGGGATGAAATACTATATGAGGGATGAAATACTATATGAGGGATGAAATACTATATGAGGGATGAATTACTATATGGGGGATGAAATACTATATGAGGGATGAAATACTATATGAGGGATGAAATACTATATGGGGGATGAAATACTATATGGGGGATGAAATACTATACGGGGGATGAAATACTATACGAGGGATGAAATACTATACGGGGGATGAATTGCTATGGGGGATGAATTACTATATGGGGGATGAATTACTATGGGGGATGAATTACTATATGGGGGATGAATTACTATATGGGGGATGAATTACTATGGGGGATGAATTACTATGGGGGATGAATTACACTATGGGGGATGAATTACTATATGGGGGATGAATTACTATGGGGGATGAATTACTATATGGGAGATGTATTTTCAGTTTTAAAAATGTGGCTCTCAAAATAAATTTCAATCATGGTTTTGGCGAGATTTGGCTCAGTTGAAAAAAAAGGTTGCCCACCACTGTGCTAGACTAAACAAGCAATTATCCTCTGCAGTGTGGTCAAAACCACAAGGGATAATATTCAAGTTTCCCAGAGCTGGGCTTTGATCCCTATGCATTTTTTAGACCAACAATCTACTTCTTCAGGAAATAATCAGAAATTGATTACCTAAAATTACAAAAATAAGTCTATTACTACGTGAAATGTTACAATGCTGAAACATTGTCAAACTTCATCTTCTTTAGATGTTTCATCATCAAGAATCATTCACTACGGATGCACCAAAAACAATCCCTTAAGGCCCATTTCACACAGCCATTCTGACCAGGACTGCCTGTCAGTTTTACAAGCAGACCAGGTCCATCCATCCCTATGGAGAGGTGGGGGTCTAAACGGACCTGTGTCCATTTACACCCACCTACTTCCAGGTCCGATCCAGTCCGCTAAAGAAACTGGAATGGGATCCATCCTCTACTGTTTAGGTGGATCAGATCGGAGGGCAGTGGAGTGTAAACTGACAGCGGAATCTGTTTATACCCGACTGCCCATAGAGCAGAGATGACTCTGTCCATGTCTGCTCTGCAACGGACTCGGACCTGTCATCCACCTGCCCTGCTCTGATCAGCAGGGGATCAGCTCACAGACCTCCTGCTGATTACAATGGAATCCGCTCTGTCTGAAAGGGGCCTTAGGCTGGCCATACATTATACAATTATCTGCAGATTTTCTGCCCAATTTCCTTTAGATTTACCTTCAACTATGTAGTGCAAGGGTCTGCCTAATTGGATACAACTGAAAGTGTTGTTTAGGTTTGTCCTCCTATTATATGGTTTTTGGTAAATCTAAACCAAAAATCTGCAGATAATTGTATAATGTATGGCCAGCCTTAGTCTAGGGAGGGCTGCAGTGGAATGGGGAAAAGAGAAATCCCACAACCAATATTCCTATTTAAATGACATCAGCAAATATTTCATCTTAATATACTATCAAAACATTGCCCAGATCTAAAAATGTACAGCTTATCAAAGAGGTGAGTATTATAGAAAACGCTGCATGTCAGGTAATAACATTTGCACACATGTTGTTCACATGTACTGTATGACACGCCTTCAGTATATGTATCGTTTATAGAAGGCCAAAGGGACAAAAATGATTATAACACAGGAAATCTGAGATAACCAGATTAGACAAGGACCAGAAGGGGCTGACAATGAGGACAGTGTCTCAGGACACTCCAACCCCCTCCATCCTCTT